GGGGTGTCTGAGTTCATGAGTAGCTCAACTTTGCTTTCAAAGTTCACAGCCGCATTCGTCACCATCGTAGAGATGCAGCAATTGAAGAACACTGCTTCGTCGACGCATTTTTGCCAAGTTTCATTCTCAGTTGCAAAACTGTATAAGACTGCTTCACATGTTGGAATCGCTGCCGCTGAACGTGCGTAGATATCTTACGAGACATCAAAAATGATACCAGGCACAGCATCTGGTATAGATTTCCACGACCTAGGTAATCAGAGACGGCATCCAAACCGAAACAAACTCGAAAAGCGGTCCACGGGTACGGACTATCCTTTCACAGCAAAAAGCAAAAAGACCGCATCTGGTCACTACTGGATGAATTCGATGGAGGGCAGCTTTGTTCTTTTCTAATAAACTTCTTCCCATTAAGCCGGATTCCGCCTTGATGACAATTTTTGATGACCAAAGGACTTGGCAAAGGAGACTAATTCCTATGTAACTAAAAGCGTCAGACACAAGGCCCATTTTATCTGAAACCGCCTGCTATTCCATGCGAAGCACGATTTTCAGCAAGAACATCTGAACGTTCTCTCGGCTAACTACGTTACAATTTATCCCTTCACTGAGTAATCTCCTCGTTCGTTAAAACGTCAACACTGATATATTATATAGACTCTCCTTACTTCTTCGTAAACGATGTGTTAAAGCAGTTGACGTTGACGATTCTACATTGGTGAAAATGTTCTCTAATTGGCTGCAACATTGATTTGACATCAGTAAATGATATCCATCATTTAAACATATCAAAGATGGTCGTATATTATTTTTTATCATATCCTCAGAAGAAAGGGAATTGGTGCGTAAAGTTGTTATATATTAACGCTTCTACCACATCGCATTTTTTTGTTCAGTCAGACAGTAATTAAGCAAATTTTGATTTACTTTCACCAAAAAAGTATTTCCTGAAACGCTGACTTTCTATCTCTTTCATAAACTTCTTTCCTTATTTGTCCAGAGATCAGCATGAAAGTCCGTGTTTAAATTTCAAGATACTTTCATTACTTGAAGAAATGAAGCAATTAGCTAAGTCAGTGTACCACGGATGCGAATATCCTTTAAACTTCTGATTCAATATCATGGAGAATTTGTTTGTGACACCATGGTTATTCCTGCAGCGAAGCAGAAACACCCAACCTAGAGGCCGTTTCCAACCTTTCTGCATCAATATATGAAACCACTGATAAGATTATGGGAACATAATCAGAAAGAAAGATTTCGATTTCCACATACCTTCACGGCTTATCATATGCTTCAAGGGATTATTCGTAACACTTGCAGCTAGTCCTATCGATCTTCTTTCGGTCGCTCAATGGAAATACGTTACCACCCATTCTATATTTGTCCTCGCGAACATCAAATACCTTATTGTAACAGATCGCTATCGTTTCTGTGATCATTAATTCGCGTGTAAACGACGTCGCAGAAAACAAATAAGCCTGTGACGATTCAACGCTGTCAGGTATACAAAATATATACGTATTTTGTACTTCTAAGTAAGATATTGGTTACATAGTGTCAAAGCCTCAAAACAACTTAAAAAAATTTTTAGAAAAATTAACAGCTTCAACATTACGGAAAAGTATTAAATGTATAACAACCTAAATAGTAATACAATTAAAAATAATGTTTCCATTCTGAGTGTAAAGCTCTGATAGACCTCAGAAGACAAGCAACAGTGACAGAGGCTTATGTTTCAAACAAATAGGATTACTTGGGCTTATGTTTCAAACAAATAGGATTACTTGTTCCTATAGAACCGCCGATCCATTCTTCTATCCGATACCATGCTGCAATAAACATGATAGCACTGAAAAACCTGAAAGCTATGAAAGCACGTACTTCCTTCGATAGTTTCTTCGGCCGTCAGCCGAATGCCCAATTCGACCTGGTCGACTTCTGTCTAAAAATAAAAGCGAAATCAGAAGTCAAAAATTCCTGCCCATAGTGAGAAGAACCTAATTACAATCAAAACAAAGTCAAAGAATACCCCATTAAAAATGTTATTGAATTTTTCATGAAGTGAAAATTTAAAATATGGAAAATAAATCAGACGATATAAAATTCTAAAAGCGTGAAAAATTTGATAACACCTAATCTATCATGAATTTGAACAAGAAAAGCCTTGCAAAATACGAGAAATACATTAGAAGAAAAATAAGCAATTCCAGTACTCAGCTTAAAAAATAACACGTCATATCACTCGTTACCATCAGCGAGTACTCTCATAAGAAAAGAAATCATGAATTTCAGTGACGACCGGTTCGACGAATTTCGCAATTACACCGTGGCGGACTGAATTCTTTAGACATATCAAAACTGACCCGGCTATAAAGTTAATGAAATCTATGTATCAAAGAATCAGCTCAAATAAAGCTATGCGGATAGAGTTTACATCTGTTTCCCAAAAACAGACTGCGGAAGTAGGAATTTGAGGGAATCTGATCACGCTTTATATGACTGGTCTAAACGATAAGGTGGTTTATCGGCATTTAGCACCGCCTGCTTTAATCCAAATCGTCATCGTGGATACACTCATTCCGTAAAACACAGTATCCACAGTATTTATAAGCTGACCTGACAGACCTATCATCAGAGCATATGCAATATGAGTTATTCACTGAAGGTGTCCAAAGAAATGGAACAATCTATAGATCTATGAAAAGTGAGCATTAGTTAATTTAGTTATATTGCAACCGGACCAGGGACTGCTAGAGAAATGGAGGCGGCATTTTCATTCACAGGCCTTATATGCACACAGGTAACAACTGCCAGCAGCTCAAATATTCTTTTTTAGACCTCGTTTGTGATATCTGCTATCGATAGTTTATCTACCAACGCGAACTGGTATTTATATACACCGTGGAATCGCTGTTCATCCTCGATAACCAATCCGCGCTGATCAGGTGGCTGCCCAGCAGTTACTTTGCAAGGCCGCCGACATGCACATACGATGATTTCGCCAGCGGAACCTTGAATCTGCTATGCCACGGGGGGATGCGAGCTTATGCCATCTCAAGAACTCGCACGGTCTCCTTTTTGATCTGCCTATGCTTCCGGTAATTTGCAAGGGCTTGTCTGATTGCCCCTGCCTAATTACAATCTGATATGGACGACTGTTGCAGTATATTCGTAATTTGTTATTGAGATTGTTTAATACCAATTACGCAGACTGGTGTGTTTTCAATGGATGGAAGAATTTCTTTGTTTTCCATTACGGTAGACATCTGCTCTACTACGGAATGTCATAAATACCGCATCTCATCTGAGCATCCTTCGTACTTCTAAATTGTAACTGTCCGACCATTCGAAGTTCATACGTTGAATAATTCCTGCTTCCTCATAATGGAAAGAGGTGAGCATGAAGATATCATCTGCAAACAACAAACGACTCAGTCGAACATTTCTTGTCTTTCCAACTGTGACATTCTGGCACTTAGATTGCGCCTGCTTGTCCACCCCACAAAAATTACATTAGGAACTGTTTGATAAAGTCATAACCTCGTTCGATAAAATGTTCATTAAGAAACAGATACTACGAAAAACAACAGACTTACATCTTCCAACGTGTGAAAAGGGTGACCGTTTCCTAAGTTTCGATAGTCTTTCGGCTTTACGGTTCGACCAATCTTTAGGAGGCTGAAAAAAACTGTCAGGCAATTGAAAAGCGACAAACAAAAAGAAGCTATACCTTGACAGGGGGATGTTGGAGAATTTTATCTTTTTCTACTGAGGATCGAGAAACAGCAGCGTTGACCTGCACATGTGACTCAGCGAGTATAAAGTCGTCGACATGCATGCTTGGTGGGCGGCTAGTGTTTGGTGGTCGGTTGCGAAAAGGGTCATTGAGGCGCGTTGAAGACGATATACCGCGGGGAACAAAGCCGCGACCGCGTAGGGGGGCAACTAAGCACAAACACTAAGGCGTAAAAAGCAAAACATGGCCATAAAGATAGAAATGTACCGAAGCGGCGGCGCACCCCCTGACTTGTGTTGATGATGCCGGGCTTCAGCTTTCGCTTCATCGTCAACGGTGCTTCGTGTTGTTTCAGTGAAATTTGTTGTAAAAGTTCTTCCCTCATATTGTAATTCGGGAAGAATTCTTGACGTAGCATCTCCAAGTCACAGAGCACCTAAAAGATAAAAAGACAAGTTTACAAATGTTATTCTACATTCAGGAGCTGTACCGCGGTACAATTTAATTACCTTCTCTTGGTCTAACTAAGTGCCAGAGAGGCTAAAACAGACTAAGCATAAGCTTGATTAATGGAATAAATTTCGCTGTTCAGTGCTAATCGAAACAGTTGAATTTAAACACGGGGTTGGTGTCGCTTAGGTATAAATTTCCCTCGCGTACTTCAATGATAATGTCTGCCATGAGCAGTACGAAGATATACATAACATTATTATATTTCAAGTTATCCAGTCACTGATCACACTTATATGCAGTATTTCCTCCTATTGCTTGCCTATAGCTGAAACGCGACCATTTTAGCAGGTCACGGTTTTCTGAAATTTGAGTTACTGTAAGTGATGGATGCAATATCAAACTGAAATATATTTTAAATTCAGTCGGTATCGCTGGAATGGCAGGAAATGATTCGCTATTGAACCGAGAGTGATAATCTGTGGTTCCTCCACAATACCGCCGAAGCCTGAGACAAAACAAACAAACAATGTTAATTTAAATCTGCAACAGCAAGTACGATGTAGTTACAGGTTCGTGCGTAGGGCTAGCTGTAAGATGGTAAAACGCAGATGTCACTGGTTGGAATGAATCGGTTTCATCAAAAATCACTGATGAATAACTTCCAAAACTCATACCGATATGGTGCTGTAGGTGACCTTATGCTGATGTTTGCTGATTTCACGGCTGACAGGGCAAGAAAAAACAAGTATCATTTCCAGTTCGGTCAAAAGATTTCAAATAGTGTGAAAAAGAAAATAATTCCCAGGATTCTTCGTGCTGCCAACAGTGAAACCAGCTGGAATCACTAAAAAAATCGTTTTGGTTTCTCATCGTTGCCTTATTATGTATTATAAAGTTTTCAGTAAACACAAGATTTTGTTTATAAAAGTTGTTACGTTTACATTGTAGCTACAGCAACTGAGGAATAACGTGTCATTTGAAACTTCAGGTGTGGTTTACATAGTTCTCCAGTTAGTAGAGATTATAAAAAAGTTGAGCTGATGATGCTGAGTAATGACTGCATGATACACGAATTGTACGTGGAAAAATATTGGGCGACTTTTCAGGGAGCAAGCAACTAGATAGAGAATAGAAATTAACGGAAAATCTCATTTCATTTCACAAACTGAGAACGATTTACGCAGAAAGAATTAATCTCTTTAATCGAAAGTTGTGTACAGCAAAGATGTCAATACAAACCAATGTCATTGTTGCACAAAACTAGCATAGTTAACGCTCTACGAACAGGAGATATACAATAAAGCATAGGCCTGTCGCACTGTTGCTCCTAAATCGCGAAATATATAATATAAAAAAAAATTTTAAAATATGCCTCATGCGTCCTGGTATTCAAATATGCGCTTAATTTGTAGCTCAAGGCTCTCTATCCCATACCGATGAAACATGAACAAAAACTCTACAGGGGCTGTAGCTTTAGCTCTGTAGCTCTGGTT